AAAGACAGGTCAGGCACGCAGCCGACCCCCCTCCTCCCCCGACTTCTCAACTGGAACTAGCCTTCAAAATCCATCTCCTGAATCCATCCTGTCTGCCCCCAGTCTGGGCCTCTGGGTCTCCAAAAGGGCCTTCTCAGACTTTTCCTGCCCCTCCCACCTAACCCTAGCTGGGCAGGGGTAGTTGAGCCTCACACCCTGGACCGTCTGGGTTGTTCCTGCCCCAGAACCGGCAGGGGGCCTCAGGAGCCGCTCCTCCGGGAGCCCCAGTCAATCCCCCTGGAGCCCCCCCACACACACACACCTCCCCACCGTAACAGAGCCGCCTCTTCTCCCTGGCTCCCCTCCAGCTCTCCCCAGGCTCCACTTTCTTTTCTTCACAAAAGGTCCCCTTCAGGGCTCCCACCAAGGCCTGGCCAAGGGGCTGGAAGGAGACCCTCCCCAACTCCATCCAAGCGCGGGAGCTGGGTAAGAGGCGGGGAAATGAATATTAATTTATCATGATTAGGCAAATCCGGCAGGGAGAGCCGATTCCGGAGGAGGCTAAAAAGATGAATTTCAGCAATAAAATTAAATAAGGACGGACGGGCAGCCCCTCCTCCCTCCCGCTTTGCTGATCTCTCTCTTTCTTACAATTTATGAGGCCAATTATGAAGATGAGGTTGGAAGTTCCTGGAACTTCACTAAATGCAAACGGCGGTCCCTGCTGTTCCCATCAAATTAATTAACCGCGCGCTATTGATGGCCGCTCAAGGCTGACGCAGGCGGCCCGCCCTGCGGCCGCCTCCACGGACATGAGGACCCAGAGTCCGGAGCCAGCCAGGGCTCCACCTTCTGCAGTCCCTGCCCAGCGCTGCCGGGGACTCCAGGGACCGCCCTTCCGGCCCCCAGGCCCTGCCCAGGCCCTTGACAACGTAGGGGCATGCCCACGGAGTCTGGATCAATGTGCGCACGGAGTCTGGATCAATGTGCCCACGGAGTCTGGATCAATGTGCGCACGGACTCCGGATCAATGTGCCCACGGAGTCTGGATCAATGTGCGCACGGACTCCTATGTGGGGCTGCCCACACGTACAGATACAAAATCCTGACCGCACAGCGCACACACTCGGCCCGGAATGCACATTAGACACACAGACAAATGAACGTGCAGTCGAAAGGCACAGTGACAGCTCAGCTGAGGACCGGAGCCCAGCGGGTGAGGGTGTCTTGCTGCGGCAGGACCACCGTGTCTAGGGTCATGGGCCTGCTTGGTCTGGGCCAGACCAGAGTCCTGCAGAGCCACGGGCCAGGTGAGGTTCCACAGCCACTCAAGCAGCGAGCAGTGGCCCCCTTATGTGGTGCCGCTGGATTCGGGAGATGTCCTCCATGGCATCCTCAGAGCCCTCCCCCACACTCCTCCAACCCCTGGGTCCTCTCATCTTCAGGCCCTTCTTCAGGAATGTTCCCTCTGGGTCTTTCGCTGGGGCTCAGCTTCTGCACTGACCTCCAGTGCGGACGACCAGGGCTTGGGGAGGCCCCGGTTCAGACGATGGGGTGAGGTTTGGCCCAGAGTCTCAGGCCAGCTTTTACAATTTATGAGGCCAATTAGCCCTGAGGGGCCCCCTGTTCGAGAGCTCAGAAGCAGGGCTGCGCGGTGGCTTGGGGGTTCTAGAAAACTAGCTGGCTGGTGCCTGAGCTGAAGGGCAGAGTGGACAGGGGCTAAAGGTCTTGAGGCTGGGCCTCAGGCCCAGGGCAGCGCGTAGGTGTCTGCGGAGGCTATAGGGAGCAGCAGGTGCGCCAGCCGCTGTAGCTCCCAGTGAGGCTGATCTCTGGGATGGTGGGAGGGGCTGGAAGGGGCTCTCCTGAGGAGTGAAGAAAGTGAGGCCAATGTCTTCTCCATGTTGTAGTCCCTAGTCCTGGCAAAAGGCAGCCCATCTCATTCATTCATTCATTCATTCATTTTTAAGGATTTTATTTGAGAGAGAGAAAGCACAAGCAGGGAGAGATGCAGAGGGAGAGGGAGAAGCAGACTCTCCACTGAGCAGGGAGCCCGATGCAGGGCTCGATCCCAGGACCCTGGGATCATGACCTGAGCTGAAGGCAGACACTTAACCAACTGGGTGCCCCAGCCCACCCCATTTAAAGGGACAGGAATCCTGTAACTCTCCTGCAGAAGCAAGACAAAGGGCCTGGGGTTTCCATTCCCAGCCCTTAAAACCTGGAGAGTAGGACATAGCTGGACTTGCCCACCTTGCCATGTCCACTCCAGGCCAGGAGGCTCCTGGCCCTGTGCCCACACCTACTCTCCCATGAGCAGCCAGAACCCAGGAGAAGAGTGTGGCCTTTTCTTGTTCCACTTTCAGTGCAAGTCTGGGGTCAAGATCAATGTCATTCCCCCAGCCCCTGGGAAAAGATGAGGCTCCCAGCTTGGCGGGGTTGGGGCAGAGCAGTCTAGAGAGGTCTGTATCTTGGGCACAAAGTGTCAGAGGGAAACTGAAATTAAGGGAGGCTCACACTGACCAAGTGGCAGCCAGCTGGAGAGGGCTGGGACCCAGGGCCTTGCCCACCACATGACCCTCCCCTACTCCAGGCATATGAGGCTCCCACCCTTCCCCACACCCCAGCTGCAATCGTGGGGGGACCTCCTCTGCCTCACAGCAGGTCCCTCCACTCACTATAAAAGGAGACCAAGACACAGCCAGTTTACTGGTTCCCTAATGTCGCAGTAACAGACTTGTGGCTTAAAACAACACGAAGTTATGCCCACACAGTACTACTGTTTAGAAGTCTGACACAGGTCTCACTGGAATAAAACTGAGGCGTTGGCAGGGCTGCGTTCCTTTATGGAGGCTCTTGAATAGAATCTGTTTCCTTGCCTCTTCCAGTTTCTAGATGCCACCCACATCCCTTGGTTGGTGGCCCCCTTTCTCTATCTTCAAAATCAGAAACATCATATCGGTCTGACCTTCCTCCTGTTGTCACATCTCTCTGTGTAGGTTTTCCACTTTTAAGGACTCATAATTAGATTGGGTCCACAGGATAATCTCATCTCAAAATCCTTAACCTTAATCACATGTGCAATGTCTTTTGCCAAGCAAGGTCACATATTTACAGGTTCTAAGGATCAGGATGTGGACATCTCTGGGGGACCATTATTCTGCCTACCATTCATGTGGTCTGGCCAGGGACAACTTTGGCTCATAGAGTGATAACAGCTGGGTTTGGGGCAGAAAGCAGGCTTGTGGGCCCTTCTCCTCCTCAGAACCACATGGTGACTGGGTGGTAGTTTTGGGGTACTCAGTTGCTAGACAGGATGCCAGTTCCCACCAGGTTTCCAGCAGAATGGGACACTGGGCAGCAAGCTTACTCAGAAACCAAGTCCAGACTCTGAAGTACCTGGAGAACCTTCCAACACACTCTTTGCTTAGTTTGGACTTGGAGAACTACCCCAAACTGGGCAGCCTTTCTCAAGATAGAAATCCCTCCGTCAGCTCTTCTCCTGGGCTCCTGTGTCAGATTGAGCAACCAAGAGGATACCACCTCCAGAATGGGTCTCTCTGGAAGGTGTGGGCATGCTCCCTTTCTATCCCGATTTCCTGTTGTCCTTGCCAGAAGGTGGAACCATAAGTTTACATGGTTTGAAGGTAATGTCTGGAATTCTGAATCTCCTGGGAGGAGGAGGAGGAGGAGGAGGAGATGCCAGGAATGGGGTCAGGTCCCTGTTTTCAGACACAGAAGTCAGCACTGTCCTTCTCTCTGGTTCTGGGGACTTCCTGTGTGTGGGAAGGGATTAATTGGCCAAGTTACCCCATGACCCATTGGTTCCCTCTTGTAGCCCTGGAGGCCCTATTCCTCTGGGCCTGGAAAGGCTGCTGAGCAGGCCAGGGCCCCGAAGAGAGAAGCAAAAGGAGAGAAGCAACTTCCACATTTGGACCTGGACACTCCAGGCTTGGGTATCTGCCAACTCTGACCCTTGCTGGGAATGATGGCAGACACTGGGGGTCCAGTCCAGAATAGAACTGGCAGAGCTTGTGAGCGGGGGCCAGAAGCAGCCTTGGGGGCCCAGGAACTTACCCAGCTTATTCATTCCAGGTGCCAGTCAGCCATGCCTCCTTGGGAGTGGAAGCTCTGAGGAACTCACCTCTCACAGAAGTTCTGAGCCTTTGATTGACTGTCTCTGGTTGGTACCAGGCTGTGTAAGGGTCCCCCAGACTCCATGAGCTTTGGATTCCTTCCTGGCATGACCCATGTAGGTGGGGCCCCAGGGTTGGGACTTCAGGGTTCTGAACTAGGGTGCCTATTCTGAGGCTGCCAGGAGCCCCTGACTAAGATCAGGCCAACAAAGGCCAGCTCTGGGACTCTCATTACTGACAGAGAGGCAGGACTCAGCACCTACCCTCCAGTCCTGCCTCCCAGCCGGCATGCTCCAGCTTGAGTCCATCTCTGAAGTCACCAAACGCCCCATGCCATCAGGCCTCTCCAGGCTCCTCCAACACAGCCACCTTCTCCTGCCTTATGCCCATTATTCTTCATAGCTGGTATGCCCGATGCCATCCTGCAAGGGCCAACCTCCGAGCACCATCCTGGTCCCGCCAGCTGGGCTTGCTCCTATCTGTTCTATCAAACTAAGCCCCTTAGCCTGACTCCCAGTCCTCCGTGTCTGGCCTCCTCCTGACTTCGGCAGAAGCATTCTATCTAAAGCACGGTCTTTAGTTGTCCCCAGACAGGCAATTTCCCTGCCAGCCTGCCCCTCCCCTCCTCTAGGCAACCTTCTCTGACTGCCTCAGCCCTGTTGGTGGCACACAAGTCACCATTTAGTTGTTCCTAATGAGTCTTGTCACCTCTGTTTATATCCCGATAGCCTGTTCTAGGGCAGGGCCCACAAGAGCTGCTGATGGGGAGACAGGCGCTCCTAATGCCTGACTCCATGAATTCTCTTACCCACCCACCCCTGCCCCCTTCTGAGCTCAGGAGCTGACTCAGGCCAGCCCGTCTAGAGAGCAGTTGTCTTTCTGGGCCCCCATTCAGCTCCCATCTCCATCCCCACCCGGGTGGAAGGCAGGCAGGGACTGCAGCCGCTCACAGACACTAGGGAGTCGGAATGTCAAGTGCACTTTACTGGGCCCCTGGGCCTTCAAATGCTGTCCTTACCGAGCCTCGGTTGCCCCCTCCCCACACCTCCAGCTGCAGAGGAAGCGGGCCGCATAGGAGTCCATGTGGAGTAGCGCATTCTCTTGCTCCAAAGGGTCTTAGGTGATGCTCAGCCACAGCTGTTTGCCCCTTCCCCTGCAGCCCCCGCCCCGCCCCCAGCAGCCAAACCCTCCTTGGGTAGGGAAGAGGGGTGTCATGGGCCTTCAGCACAGGAAGCTGGCTTCACACCAGCACCTGTTCTTGCTTAAAATGGGTCAAGGGGCCGTGTACAAAACTCTACCAGGGGCACTGGTGAGGTAGAAGGACAGCAGTCTGCTCCTGTTGAGAAGAGGGCCAGGCCAAGCCGAGCCTGGGAGCCAGGCTGGCCCCTTCCCTCAGGCCCAGGTGGCTGAAGTGGTGAGGTTCAGCCTACTAAGGCTGGAGCCAAGTACTGGATGGCCAGGTGGGGCAGCCAGTCCAGCTTGGCGCCTCCTTCCCCCCAGCCGTGGGTCACCAGTCCCGCTCAGCTGGTTCTCGGTAGGGTAGGCCTAAAAGCCTGAAGACATCCTTCTCAGTGGGGGTGGGCAGCACTCGACCAGGCCCCACCTTGAGGCCTTGGGTGTCTCGGACCACAGAGGTGCTGAGGGCATGCTCCGACAAGCTCATGCCCTTGGTCTTGGCCAGAGCCCGCATGGAGCGGTTGAAGTGGGCAGAGCCAGTGAAGTAGAGCAGGGCACAGGCAAACTCGCTGTAGGGCACAATGATGATGTCCAGTCGTCGGTGCCGCCGCCCCGGCCCGGGTAGCTGGCACACCCCCAAATACTTCTGCTGCTGGCCGTTCTCCTCCTGGCTCACCAGGTCATCTGTCAGGAACCCTGGCGCAACATCAGAAGGCCGCTGGGAGGGCAGGGAGCCAGGCCCGGGCTGCCCCGTCCTCCCAGGTCTCTCCTGTTCATCCCTGGGTCCTCCATTCCCAGCTCACAAATTTCGTTGCTGGCTGACCTTGCCCTCTCTGGGCCTGCCTCTTTAAACCATGCATAGTCATTCCTCCTCATGTCCCCCTGCAGTGTCACAGGCAGGTGAGATGAACCTCGACCTGCAGGCAGTAGTGAGCACCTATTACTGAGGGGAGGAGTGGTGGGCTGTTTTGTCTCTTCCCTGCAATGGCTCTGGCCTCGAGGGAGAGGTGGTATTCTCACAAAGCAGCCCTCCCCTGCTTCCTGCCTAGAGCTTGCGACTCTGAGCCTCTCCCTCCCAGGGGTCGCCCTCCCTGCACTGCCCTGGCCAGCCCACTCACCCAGAGACAGAGCTTATACCTTGGTGCCGAAGGCTGTCGAGGAGAGGACTGAAGATGCCCTGGTGAGACCGGCCATCCGGGTGAGTGAGCAGCACGTCCACATCACCACAGGTTGCCTTCCCCCGGCGGTAAGAACCACATGCCACACACAGCAGCCTGGGGTTGAAGACCTGAGCTGCTTCCCGGACCTGGGAAAGAGCGGGGGGGAGGGGAGGCAGGGGGCAGCAAGGAGGGCCTGTGGGCCTCAAGCCCTGCATGGAGTTCCTCTCCCAGGGCAGCACGAGAGACTTCCCTGACTTAGGAGCCCACATGTCCAGCTGATGCCCGAGCCAATCCCCAGAGGTGTGATACAAGTGAGGGAAAGCCTCAAGGAGCAGAGCCAGCAATCTACCCTGGGGAATGGCAGTTCTCCAGCTTCACTAGGATGGAAAAGAAAATGTGTTCCCACCACCAGACTCAGCCTGAAGAGCGAGCTAAGAGGCGTATACTCGGATTCTGAGGGAAGGCACTGATCTTTCCTCCTAGGGTTCTTTAAGAGCAGAGAGACACCCCTTCTCTCTGCCCCTGCCCCGACCCATGTGCCCAGGTCTGTCCACTTAGGACAAAGGGCCAGATGCCTGGAAGCCCTCTGCCAGGTCTCAGCAGCCCCAGGTATGGATCTAGAGCTAAAGGCAGAGTGTGTGAGTTGGGGCTTGAGGCCTGAGCAGGTGGCTAGCAGGGTGCCCCAGGCCAGGTCTAGGGGGAAATGGAGCCCAGAAATACAACTGTACCTACAATAAAAGAAAAGAAAAAAAAAAGCGAAGAGGGAGGCAATTCTGAGCCAGTGCTCACACCCTTACTTGGAGGAAGGAGGCTTGGTGCTTGGAGAGGGAGCCAAGAAAGAGGGGGCTGTCAGCTGAAGGATCATCCCTCACTGAGGGAAATAAGCCCATTAGCCTCTACCCCAGCGACATGGAAGCCTTTCGTATGCAGATGGCCTCCACGCCTTTACCCCAGGACACTGAGATTTCTGGGACCCTGGATACTTTGGCCAGGACACCTCAATTCTCCTGACAGGCCAGGCTCTGCTAATCCCCTCACTCCCTTCTTGAGCCTCCCAAGAGGATGGGAGGAGACCTAGGATGAGTAATCCCATCAAAAACTAAAGCTAGAGCCCTTCAATGCCATGTGGGAAGCCCCTTCCAATGGGCTGGGGGCTGGAGGCTCACCGGGACATTCTCCGTGCCTGGACACCGTGGCTGAGTGACAGTGTCATCACTAGCACCAAGGCCTGGTGATGGATGGACAAAAGGGCCTGTTCATCCATCCTGTGCCAGCTCATAGTCCCATAAAGTAGAGCGTGGAGGCTGGAGGCCTGGAGTAGAGCTGGAGGCTGATTTCAACTAAGGTGGGCCAGGGTCTCCATACAGTCCTACTTATCAAAACCTGATTCCAAAGTAGCAAACCTTGTCCACAGCAACCAGCCCCTAATCCTGACACCAACTGAACAAATTATATATCTAACCCCAAATATACACTAGTCTCTTTCTAATCTAGGTTTTATAGGAATTTAATCCCTAACCCAACTTTAAATCAAACCCTAATGTTGGCCAAATCTTATTTTTAGGGCAACAACAAATCTTAACTAAAAGCATCCAGTACTAAGAAAACCCTACTCTTAATTCAGGCCTAACCTTAATTCAACTCAACCTAAGCTTTCCTCTGACCCCAAACCTAATCATACTGGCACTGTGCTTCTACACCAACTCTAACCCAAACCCTGAACCAGCCTCAGGTTGTAGGGGGCTGGGTGGAGGGGGGATCCTTCAGAGGGTCTGCACATCTGGAAATAGAAAACTTTGTACATCTGCACAAATTTTGGAGACAAAGAGTCCATAGTTTTCATTGGGTTCTCAGAAAAGTCTGTGAATCAAAGAACATTAAGAACCTCTGTCCTGACCCACCCTGACCTAATCCAGTTCAAACCGCAATATCCTCAAGTAGTTCTGACAGTAATCCGCCTCTAATCCAGCCCTAACGCCATGCTAGCATCTAAACCAATGCTTACTCTACCCTAATCCAGAGGCCTGCTGTTACAGCCCTTCCCTACCACAGCCACCCACACTTCCAGCTTCAGTCTCAGCTGGCCCTATCCCCACTGGTCCCAACCTCTGTCTCACAGCTTCCTCCACCTGGCTCCCCAGCTGAGGGATCAGGTGTTCTTGACTTCGAACCAGGTCCTGACCTTATAGCAAGGCCTGGCTCTCCTCACTGCTCTGGGACAACTGCTTACTGTCTGCTCAATCTCTGTAGCCTCCTCCCGGGGTATGCGTTCCAGGAAGTCATCATAATGCTTCAGGCCAATGGCCTGCTGGGTAGTCAGGGAGGCCTGGTTGCGGATGTCTTCTAGGGTCCGGAAACCCTGGAAAAAACAAGCCAGATGAGGAGGCTATGAGCAGCCAAGACCAATGGAGAGGCAGTGAACGAGCACATACACAAGGCTTCCATCACCCCCAGATTCCAAGGAAGGCCTGAGGCAGGATCAACCCCAGGAGTGGTTGGATCTGTAATCAGCGGGACTCAAGAAAGGTAGGGAGCATGGGAGACACACCCCAATCCAGCTCTGCCACAACCCTAAAATACTGGTTCATAAGTCCGTTGGTCTGGGGGATTCTGGGCATCACCAGGTTGGGGAACCATTGATCTGGATACTCAGCCTTGAGGCCTGATCTTCTCAGGAAGGCCCTTGCTAGTCTGGGAGACAGAGAAACACACTTCCTGTCTCTCTGCCTCCTTGATTAATTCCTTGAGGCTATCAGGCAACAGGGCAGTTCTGGGAGCAAGAGAGGGGTCTACATGAGCCCTAGTCCCCTTGAAAAGTGGTCTCCCTCTAGTCCTGGTTCATTCCCATCAGAGCACAGGGTATGAAAACTAGGGGGCAGGACCTCTGAGAAAGTAAAACCGAAGTGGGTGCTGGGACATGGTGTGACCTGTTGGTACCACATCTGGGCAGTTTTGGTTCCAGCTCCCCAGATGTTGGAGAAGAGCTCCAAGACAGGCACACTCTCACTGATATGGTCCAGCTTCCGCAGATGCCCGCTGTCCAGGATTTCTGCGATTTTCTCGGCCATCCGCTTTCCAATCCCGGGGATACCGAAGGCCTCCTGGGGGTAGGGGGAGGCAGAGGCAGGAAAAGCAGAGTGAGAAGATGGGAGGTGTAGAGCCAGCGGTGGGTTAGCAGACTCCTTTAGCAGATATCTGAATAAAAGCCAGCTTGGCCCGTTAGCAGCTGGTGTAAAGCCTGGGCACAAATGAAGATGAGAAGTTTGGATGGGATGGGCTGGGTCACTTGTCTTTTGGTTCTCAGAGGAATGGAGATCAGCACAGCAAGTAGAGAAAAGGCAGCAGTGACCACACTAGTCACCACTGTCATGGCAACAGTGAGAGCGGGGCATTCACTGAAGCCTTTCTGCGGATCAGGTCCCGCACTGCAGGGAGCATGGCATTTGGTCCTCCAGGAGCACCTGAGTCTCTCACTAGTCTTAGTTCCTTTTCATTGCTTAAAGAGTTTAAGTAACTTGCCTAGAATCACACAGTTAATGAATGATGGGAACCAGAATTCAAACCCTGGTCTGTTGGCCTCCAGAGTAAACTTTTTAAAAACTTTTTACTATGGGAAAAATTCCCATAGTAGAGAGAACAGTATAATGAACCCCCATTACCCGTCAGCAGCTTCTATAATTATCAAGGTTCTATCAATCTGCTTTCAATCCATCTCTCCATTTTATTTCTTTTGTGCAAGTCTCTGACATCATAAAATCTTAAGCACTCCACCTGATCCCCACTTGTGACTGGTGCCCAGTAAACAGAAAGCCCCCCATCTCCCCGCATCCCCTGCCCTGGCCCCCAGGTACCTGGTAGGAGGTGACAGGCTTGTGGAAGCTCTTGAGGGCATTGATGGCCTTGGCATAGCCCAGGGCCCTCCACTTGTCTCCCTGAACACTGTAGGCTTTCGCCAGCACTTCCAGCTTCTCTGTGAGGTGGGGGTTGTGGTTGATCGCCTTCTGGCTCGAAGGCTGTGCACAGACCCACTTATCCAGGCCCTTAGGGGCTGGACTAGGCTCACCATCTCCCTCAAGGAGGGTGGAGTAGTGGCCGCTGATAAAGGCTTCCAGATCAGCTGCGCTAACCTGGGTCTCTTCCTCGTCACTGGTTTCATCATCAATGCCAGGCTTGAGGTAAGGAAAGAGAAGAGACGAGAAATTCATGCCCCCAGCGGCCCCCAGGAGAGCCCCTCAAAGGTGGGGGCTGAGTCTCCTAGTCAGACCCAGGAATGAGGCTGGGTCTCCTGCATCAGACCTGGGTCTCCTTAACTGTGGGGCCATGTTCATTTTGGCTTCCCCCAGTGCCCAGCCCTAGAATCCCCAGTGGTGTGTGGTAGCTGTGGGCCTGGGCAAATGCAGGCATGATGAGTGTTGGGCAGAGCCAAATGGCTTCACAATAAAGAGATCCTTCCTCTGTCAGGGGCCTGGGACCTTCTGAACAACCACCAGGCCCTCCCTGTTTCTGTGACCTAGTTCCCAGGGGAAGGGAGCTCTGAGGGCTGGGAGGCTCCTGACCTGGGCTTGGGTGCTCAGGGCCTCCTCTGTCCTCCGGGGAGGAGATACAGGCCTGGTGGGAGGACGGGAAGGAGAAAGGGCTGTCCTGAGCACAGCCTCACGGGCTCCAGGAGGCACAGAAAAGTCTTGGTCTGCCTTGCTGAGCTGTGGTTGGTCCAGGCACCTGCAGGGATGGTGATGGCAAGTTTAACACCCAAAGGCCTGGCCCTTCCTCTGCTCCCAATCCTCTATTCTGAAATCTTGGTTTTCTAATGTGTCCAATTAAGACAATGAAAGTTATTTTTTTAATAATCCAAGAAGAAAGCTCAAGATGCTGCCAGGAAGCACTTGAGGAAAGACAGAGGCCAGCTCACCTGTTGGGGATGCAGATGCTGAATCCTGCTGTGTCCACTAGCCTTTTCTCCTGCAGGCACAGGCTCAGCCAGGCCGACTTTACCAGCTGAACACCCTGGGGTAGCTGGGTCAGTCGAAGGAGGCGGAGGGCTCGCTCACAGTCCATGCCTTCATCCACCACAATGTGAGTGACCCCTGGGGCCTGGGCAGCGCATATCTGGCCACCATGCTTGATAATTTGCTTCTCAAAGAGTTCTGCCCGGGCTCGCCCAATGCCACTGGGCACAACATGGGCCCGAAGGGAGCTCAACCACTCTGTGGAGGGGACATCCAGATGCCTATTGTCATAACTGTCAGATATGATCCAAACGAACCCTTTACAGTCCTGTGCCCCCAAACGATCATTTTCCTTCCATCCAGAGAGCCAGCCTTCTGGGGATTCTGATGCAAGCATACAGTTAATTTCCCCATGAACCATCACCCGATGTAAGGGGCAAGGATTTCAATATGTCCTGTTCCCTCATGTAACCTAGAACAGTTAAACACTGCTGGAGCACATTGTAGGTATCCTGTATATTGCTTCCTTTGATCATTTATTCTTTCAAGTATTAATAGACACCTACCTCTGCACAAGGCATAAGGCACATATGACTTGCCATTACAGGCCTCATCGTGTAAGAACTACTCCCCTCCCCTACCCGCCACGTGAGCTGTTATTTGTCAGCTTGGCTGCAAAATAATGTAGCTCTGGGAACCTGAGTCTCCCACCCCCTCCATCCCTCTTCAGGCAACCTCCTGGAGAACAAAGGCTTCTGCTAGTCATTTCCTTAGGGACCAGAGAGTATTTTCTGATTGATGGAGGTCTAGGGGTGGGGTAGAAAAGAACACAGCAAGTGGCCTGTCAAAGACTGGGGCCCAAGCCTAGTGCAATGAAGATACAAACCAACCTGCAGGCCATGGACTGGCAGAACCAGCTCTAATATCTGATTCTAGACATAAACAATATAGGAAGCTTGAGGGTTCAAGTACGTGAGGGTTCTGAGGGTGGATCTGCTCACCTCCTGCTTCTTCTCCACCTTCTTGCTTGGTAATCTTTGTAAGTGCTTTTGATGATGGATTGGCATGAATTTTCCTCCGCTTGGGAAATGCCTTCAAGATGCCCCCAGGGTCCATTGAGGTACGGCCAGATCACTGCCTTAGGGTTTTAGGTTTGATCAGGGCAACTGTCATGTAGAAACCCAGAATTGAGGTTACCCAACCCTTTGCCTATGGAGGTGGGCGTCTCTAATGACCAGGCTTTGGGGGCAGTAGCTCAGTCCCTGGGGGTCTCCCAAAACCCAACTGAACTTCAGCAGTTTAGCATAGCACTTACCAGCCTTTCAAAGTCAGAGTACTGGGGGAAATAAGGGGAAGAATGGGACTACTGGGGAACTCTTGAGGGGTACAAAATGATACTCCCCAGAGGGGTTGCTCTAAAGATTCAGTGCAGTGTCTGCCCTGCTGCAGCCCACTTTGAAAGGGCTTTACCAAAAGGGGATGCCAGGCTAGGAAATGGAGCTACATCTTTAGAAAGGGCTTGGGCTCCCAAGACAATTGAAGGACTGAGAGGCCTCTACATATAGACCCCACATGATCTTTATCCCATCACAGACCGGCAGAGGAAACCCTGGTGGTGGCGGGGGTTCGGGAGGTGGGGGAACGCTCTACACCTGCCCCGGTGGCGGGCCTCTTGTCACGGGAGTGCTCAGCCCCGCGGCTGCGGGGAGATGGAGCATAGCCGCAGCAGGTGTGGGGCGCCTTCCGAGCCTGGGGGAGTCTCGGCCTCACAGCTGGGGGTGAAGACAACCGGCAGCTGTGGGGCCCCCGCCGCGTTCGCAGCTGGCGCGCGCCAGCGACTCCCAGCTGGGGACCGGAGGAGGGCTGGAGTGTCCGGACCCTGCCCTAGGGGCCCCTCCCCGCCGCGGCGATTCGGTCAGCCGGGGGGGGGGGGGGGGGCGGTCAACTTCAGGCCCCTCGGGTCACCCGCGGGTGGGCACGAGTAAACCACTTACCAGGGCAGCCAATGAGAGCGGACGAAGGGCGTGGCCGGTGGGAAGTGGGGGGGAGGGGGCAAATGCCCAGAACACCTTCCGGGTCGGCCGGAAGTGACCGTAGGCGGAATGGTTGCCATGGCAGCGGCCGGTCGCACGGCTGGGCAGAGGGAAGATGGCGGTCACCGGCTGGTTGGAGAGTCTGCGGACCGCCGAGAAGACGGCGCTGCTGCAGGACGGTAACTCGAGGCCCCCACGAGCTCCCTAGTCCTTTCCCCCAGGGTGCAGCCCTCCGCGCTGGCGCCTCCGCGAAGGGCCTCCGAGCCTGGGACGGCCAAGCTGGAAGGGCCGCGGCTGCCAGACTAGGCCCAGTCCTGTATTGGCAGATGAGGAAACTGAGGCCCGGAGAGATGACGTGACTGGAACACGCGTCTCTGGATACCTCCTAGTTTCCTCTACACCACTTCGCCCCGCTCTGAGTTCTGTTACTAATAAATATTAACTCCTTTCATATTCGTTATGTCATTTGCTCCCGAGAGCTGTCCCAAGAGGCTGTTAATTTTCCACCCCATTTTACAGAAGAGGAAACAAATGAAAGAGGGTTTTAGACCAGCCCTAGCCCCTCGTCCAGTCAGTAGGGTTCTGTTGCTGAACGCAGCCTGGCGTCATGAAGAGGCGGGAGACCTGGGCTCTAGTTACTACTCTGCCATTAAGTCATAGTTAGCCCCTTTACTTGCTTGGGCCTTATCTTCCTCATCTGTAAAGTGAGCTGATGTCCTTTCCAGCTGTAATGTTTGTAAGTGAACTTCTAAATGTTCCCTGGGGTCTGTAGGGAAAACAGCAAGGGTCCCAGCCCTGTGCTTGGAAAAGGTGGGCATAGGGGGTAGGGAGTCCTGATTTTGTCTCACCCTAGGATTGACGGATGTAGGACCCCCAGTGCTGCAGGGGTCCTTTCCTTGCCCCCCCCTTGGCAGCCAGATGAATTAGGTCTAAATTTCTGTAGCTTGTAGACCAGCTGGAGGCGCACATCCACAGGCAGAGGCCAATCAGGGAAGCACGGAAATTAAAATCACCTGTTCATTTGTTCATTCGTTCACGCAGCATTTAAGGAGGCTTTTACTATGTACTAGGCTGTGTACTAGAGCAGAGAGGGGGGAAAAAAAGATATGTAAATGAATAAGAGTGTGTGTTAAGTAGAGGTTGGAATCTTCTATAAAGTGTATGAGGGCACGAAGGTGGGAATGATCGTCCCTTTGAAAGAAGATCTGCCAGAAAAGGTGATGTTTATGGGTCCTAAAGAATTAATACGGTTTGCTAAGTGTGGAAGAGGGAATGACCCACATGTAAAGAGAGGTATGGATTTGTGGAAGTATATGGCTGATTACTAGGGGAATAACAACATTTTATTTTATTTATTTATTTATTTTTTAAGATTTTATTTATTTATTTGAGACAGAGAATGAGATAGAGCATGAAAGGGTCAGAGGGAGAAGCAGACTCCCCGCCCAGCAGGGAGCCCGATGTGGGACTCGATCCAGGGACTCCAGGATCATGACCTGAGCCGAAGGCAGTCGCTCAACCGACTGAGCCACCCAGGCGCCCGGGAATAACAACATTTTAGTGAGGCTTAAGCGTTCCCCCAGTCAAACAGTCCCCCACACTATGTCAGGTGCTAGGATGCAAGGGTGAATAAAAGTTCTCTTTTCTCAAGGAGCAGTGAGGAGAAATGGTGGGAAATGAAGAGGGATTTTGGATAAATTGGGGTATGCTGTGATCTCCTTTGCCAAGCTAAAGATTTTGGACATTTTCTCAGGACTGTGGTTTCTGGTTTTATTGTAAAAAATAGATAACCTAGGGGCGCCTGGGTGGCTCAGTCGTTAAGCATCTGCCTTCGGCTCAGGTCGTGATCCCAGGGTCCTGGGATCGAGCCCCACATCGGGCTCCCTGCACCGCGGGGAAGCCTGCTTCTCCCTCTCCCACTCCCCCTGCTTGTGTTCCCTCTCTCACTATGTCTCTCTCTGTCAAATAAATAAATAAAATCTAAAAAAAAAAAAGATAACCTAGAATTTACCTTTTTTTTTTTTTAAGATTTTATTTATTTATGTGAGAGAGAGAGCATGAGAGGGGGGAGGGTCAGAGGGAGAAGCAGACTCCCCGCCAAGCAGGGAGCCCAATGTGGGACTAGATCCTGGGACCCCAAGGATCATGACCTGAGCCAAAGGCAGTCGTCGCCCAACCAACTGAGCCACCCAGGCGCCCCTAGAATTTACCATTCTAACCATGTTTAAGGATGCAGTTCTGTGGCATGAAGTATATTCACATTGTTGTGCAGCCATCACCACCATCCATCTCCAGCACTTCTTCATCTTCAGCTGAAACTCTGTACCTGTTAAACACTAACTCCCCCATTCTCAGCCTCTGGCAACTATAATTCTACTTTCTGTCTTTATGAATTTGATTACGGCAGGAATGTAACCACCTAAGTGGAGTCATACAATATTTGTCCTTTAGTGACTGGCTTATTTCACTTACCATCCACTTATTTCACTTCAGTGTCCATCTGTGTTGTATGTATCAAGGCTAAATAGTATTCCACTGTTTGTATGCATACATCACATTGTGTTTATCCATTCATCTGTTGATGGACACTTGGGTTGCTTCCATTTGTTTAGCTATTGTGAATAATCCTGCTGTGAACATGGGGGTACAAATATTCAAGTCCCTGCTTTCACTTCCTTTGGTCACAGGATGGTATCTAAACAAATATTTCATCATCTAGGATTTTGTTAGGTTTATTTGTTAGTAGCATCACAAAACAATGTTGTTGGTCTTTTTTCCCCAAACCAAATAATAATAAACAATAATAATGTTAAGTGTATGGATACGTCTTGTCAAACCTCTCCTATAGATTTACCCTCCTGATGGATGTGTGGCTGTGAGGAGGATGTTACCTCCCTCCCACGAAAAAGCACTGCTATTGGTAATAAGAACCCAATACTCCAAATTTTTTCCAGAAAGAATTTATGCTCGTTATGGAAATATGAAAAATAAGTAAAATCACCCATCAACTACCATCTAGAGATAATCATAATTTACTTTTTAAAAAATATTTTCTTTATTAGAGCACAAACGGGGTATGGCAGAGGGAGCAGGAGAAGCTCCCTAAATAAAAATCTTAAAAAAAAAAATGGGGTGCCTGGGTGGCTCAGTCGTTAAGCGTCTGCCTTCGGCTCAGGTCATGGTCCCGGGGTCCTGGGATTGAGCTCCGCATCGGGCTCCCTGCTCTGAGGGAAGCCTGCTTCTCCCTCTCCCACTCCCCGCTCGTGTTCCCTCTCTCGCTGTGTCTCTTTCTGTCAAATAAATAAATAAAATCTTTAAAAAAAAAAAAAAAGATTTTTATTTAGTATTTTAGAGAGAGAAAGAACGAATGGAGGGAGGGGCAGAGGGAGAGAATCTCCAGCAGACTCCCTGCAGAGCCCAGCGCAGCGCTCCATCCCACAACCCCACAACCCCGAGATCATGACCTGAGACGGAAACAAGAATTGGATGCTCAACTGACTAAGCCACCCAGGCACCCCCATAATTTATATTTTCATGCATAAACTTCCATATTTCTTCCATGCATGTACACTCATACATGTATTTTGTTTTACCAAAGTATACTAATAAAATTGTTTATTATCGGGGCACCTGGGTGGCTCAGTCGTTAAGCGTCTGCCTTTGGCTCAGGTCATGATCCCAGGGTCCTGGGATCGAGCCCCACATCAGGCTCCCTGCTCCGCGGGAAGCCTGCTTCTCCTTCTCCCACTCCCCCTGCTTGTGTTCCCTCTCTCACTGTCTCTCCCTCTAATAAATAAATAAAATCTTTAAAAAAAAATTGTTTATTCGCATATATACATTTACATATATACCTATAGAGTAAATATGTATTAGAATAAAGTACAGATAATTATTATATAATCTTCGGGTAAGGGAGGAAATTCTGAGCACAACTCCTGGGTAGTAACCACAAAGGAAAAAATCGTTGACTATATAAAAATTAAATGGTTAATATCATAAAGGTCAATCAGATTAGTAAGAAAAAGATGAATACCCAAATAAAATATGCTAAGGTCTAAACAGGTAATAATTGACTAGAAACATGACCAATAAACCTTTGGAACAGTGTTCAACCTTACAAATATTTAAAGCTATAGACATTATCCTAGTATGGTTATTAGAGCATGGAATTTGGCCTCAAATGAGCTTAAGTCTGGGTTTGTCCTTTCATAGCTTTATGAGCTTGGACAAGTTACATGACCTTTAAGCCTCAGTTTCCCTCATTTGTAAAATACAAGTAATGGGGGCAGATAGGATTATTTTGAGAATTCAATTCAATGAAACACATAAAATGCCTGGCCAGTAGTAAGCACTGCATCCTGCCTGGACTCAAGATGGACTCCAGGGGGAGAAGAGGGTCAGGCCAGAAACCTTCAGCTACTCACAGGCAGCACCTTTTATCCCACTCCTGACAGGAAAACCCCTTCCAGCTCTATTAGCCATCCAAATGATTTAGGGTGCTGAGAAGCCCTGCAAATTTGGAGATGAGTTTCCCTAGAATACAAATTAGGAATGACTCGAGGAAACTGTGTCCAGGGGAATGAATTAAATGGGAAAAAGTCTTGGTAGATCAGATACAGTTGCAAATTTTAGGTAGTGACTCCTTTAGCTGCTCCTTGGAGCTCTTATTTATCAAGTGTAGGTTGGGTACCTGTCCCTGTTATTAGGCTCACTGAGGAGCCTATCTATGTCAACTCACCCATTTGTAAAAATAGGGGAAATTACACAGTCACTTTAAAAAAAATACGATTATAATATATAGGTGGAAGAGTTGGGCTAGAAAACTCCCCTGGATTCTTGCATTCTTTCAATGAAAGTTGAATCAATGTTCATTCTTTCAATTAATACTTAGTTGAGCTCCTGACATATGCCAGGTACTATGCTTGGTGTTAGGGAAACCATAGGCAAGCAGGATAAAATCCCTCCTATCTAATAGAGACAGGGGATAATCAAAGAATCACAAATCGTAACAGAGGTAAGTGCCATGAAGAAAACATAAGAGGACTAACATGTGGCTGTGTGCTAGGAATGGCCTAGAGACGTGCAGAAGGCACAGCAATGATGTGGCTAGATGGAGTGCTTGGTCAGGAAACCCAGTTCATTATCCTGAGCACATAGGCTTGGTTTTAGGAACTGGGGAGACAAAGATAAATACAGCACTGTTCCTGGAGAGAGGATGCTCTTTAAAAAAAGTACTATACTATATGATAAATGCTCCACTATGGATATGAATAAAGCACTAGGGAGGCCCAAACAAATAAGGAAGTGATGAATTTTGCCAGGGTGGCTAAAGACTTCCCAGTGGAGTGACATTTGAGCTGGGTTTTGAAGGGCAAGGAGTTCAACAGATGAGAAGAATTATGGAGCTTTGCTGGTAGAGGGAACAGCAGAGCAAAGGCACGTTCAGAGAAAGCTGCAGAAAGGAAAGGCGTCCTGGGACTTGTCTTAAAGTAGCGGTGGGCAATGATTGGTAAGGAGTTCATGGGAGGGTTTCTCATGCCCAAGCCCAAGGCTGTTGGTATTTCCCAGGTAGATCCCTTGATGTGCAAGGCGCAAGGTAAGAAGAGGCGTGAAGGTAAGGCACTCTGCTTTGTGCGTAGGGAGAAGGAAGGTGCACTATTTGTTCCCAGATGGAAAGGAAATGGCCGAAGAATATGATGAGAAGACAGGCGAACTACTTGGTAAGTGACAGGGGCTTCCACTGGGCCCATAGGAACACTTGGGGTGTCCTAAAGCACGGGTAAGCAGTTCTAGCCTGAGGCTTGCGGGAGGAACTGAGCACCAAAGGTGGAAGCCAGGGGAGACTGAGGCCTTCAAGGCAAGATTGTTCCTGAGAATAATGTGAGGTCAGGGCTGGCCACCAGGGGTGGAGTGGGCGGCCGCTTGAGGGGTAAACTCTACCAGACCCCTAGATCAGTGAGTGTGTGAGAAAGTCTTCTGTAGGGAAACTGCTGGGATAGAACTACAGAGAGAGGGGTGCCTGGGGGCTCAGTCGTTACGCATCTGCCTTCAGCTCAGGTCATGATCCTGGGGTCCTGGGATCGAGCCCCGCATCAGGCTCCCTGCTCAGCGGGAAGCCTGCTTCTCCCTCTCCCACTCCCCCTGCTTGTGTTCCCTCTCTCGCTGTGTCTCTGTCAAATAAATAAATAAAATCTTAAAAAAAAAAAAGAACTGTGGAGAGAAGGCAGAATTGGAAGTGGGCCTCTACTCCAGGCTGAGTGGGTAGAGTTAAGGGCAGGCTTTAACTGCAGTTGTTTTGCTTGCTTGTTTGTGTGTTTGTTTGTTTTCTGAAGCCACAGCCGCAGCAGGTACTGGTCCAGGCTCAGAGGCTGCACTGTTAAATTTGACCCTTGCCTTGGAAAATGTCTGAATCAGAGGGGGTCGTGAGTAGAAATGGGGATTTTGCAACATTGTTGTTTTCTTTCCTGCAGCTCTTTTCCTCTAACACTAGTCTCATGAATAGGGGCTCCAGCTCAGATTTCTGGGAATTACTTGATTTGTCCATCCTCTGTGCCCAGGTATGCACATCAGCATTAACGGACTTCCCAGAGCTAGGTGGCTGCTGATTTGACCCAGGGCCTGGGGCTCTCAGCAGTGGGAGTTGGTGTCTTTATTAAGTTCCACCTGAAATGCTAAATCCAATGGTGGAATCATGGCTTGGGTTATTTTCTTGTCATTATTCTTGACTTTAATTTCTTCGTGGGCCTGATCGACAGGTAGTATTGGCAAGGGAATTTCTTTTTCCCTTTTTCTGACAGCTCATAAATGTCTAGAACCAACAACACGGATTACACTGGTTTGCATTTTCTTAGTCTCCAGTCTTAAAATGTGTGTCCTGCGCATGTTCAGTCGCAGAGTGAAGTGTTGATCCCTCCTTATTATGAGCTGCTTGGGTTCCAGTCCCAATTGGTTTAGTCTGGTGCTATTAAAAATCTTGATGTGTTTAGCATATGACACTGATTTGTTGGAAACCAATACAGTAGTAATATCCTCACAATGCATTGTAATTTATAGCGCTCCCAGGGGGTGACAGCCTTGGAATGCCTAACAGGGGCGAGCTTATAAAAGCAGAGGTCACGTGGGCTAAGCACCACCATTGCCAGGCCAGTTCCTTCCCGCAGCCCCCAGCACCACCTCTCTCCTCCATTCAGAGCAAATAACCCACCTAGAGCTGCTGTGGCCATAAAAACAAGCAAACAGATAACCCCCAGCCTCTTCGTTGTGCTTGGATATGAAATTAAAATGAAAAACAAGTTTTGGTACCTTCCTCTGTAGCATCCCACATTAACCTGTCACTTCTCTTGGCAGGTGGGGAATAGACAAGGGCCTACAAACTCCTTTTTTTCTTAAAAGCAGAAATGGAGATTGATAGAACACTGGCTAAACTTTACCTAATAATGATATTAATACCATAACTTTTTTTAGGCATTGTGCTAAGTGCTTTATATGAGTTATCTCACTGAATCATCCTCATTACAGCCTGATGAGGTATGCACTGTTGTCCCCTTTTACAGTAAAAAAAAAATGGAAGCTCTAAGAGGTTAAGCACCTTGCTCAGAATTCCATAGCTGGTTAGTTTCTGAGTTAGGATTTAAGTCTGAGTCTGCCTGGTTAAGAGTCCATGCTGTAATGCACAGCAACATACTATTGGGAGTTGAGAATATTTAATCCTGCTCTCTCTTCTTCTTCTTAAACTTTGTTCCCCCCAGAATGACTGAGAAGGGGCTGGTGGGAGCAGGACAGAGATGGGCAGACAGGAACACCCCACGCAAACCACTGGACCCTTTGAACAGCTGGTCCTTCTCTTACCCATCTCCAACCACTCCACCCTACCCCCACCAGCTGCCCTTGCAAAATTATTAATTTTTAAGTATAAACAATCTCAGGGCCTGAACTAACTTGAGCTCGAGCACTCTCTGAAGTAAAATACGGACAGGGTTGTGATGGCCACAAATGGGAATCGTTTCCATTTTTCCAGCTAACTATACAAATTTGATAATTGGCTAAACTGGTTTTCTGTTAGAGAAACCCAGAAAGTAATTTGCCACTGGTGCATCTGTGTAGCATGGAGTTCTTCCAGTCAGTGTTAATAAGCATAGTGGTGTCATATTTTTTTTCAACAGTCTAATGCTATTCGTTCCCACCCCGCACAATGAGTGCTGTATGTAGTCATAGGGGGAAAACCTGAAGGGCCCTATAACAATGATCGGAACATCAAACCAGCCCCAGAAGGACACAGCATGTCGGGGGGGGGGGGGGGGGGGGGCGCAGAGGCTGAAGGGCAGGCCATCCCCCATTGTTACATTCGGATTACCTTGGATTACCGGCTTAATCTGCTTTGGTATTTGACCGCCAGCCTAACCACCCCAGGCTGCATTTGGAGGATATTGAGCACTTTCATCCCCAAGCACTTCACCGGCTTTATAAATGACCCACTCGATTCCCTTCCGCCTCCTCAGGGATGGGATGCGGCAGCTGTTTAATAGCCACAGAGCAATGTTGCAGTGTTTTAGGGCAGAAAAGAAGAATCCTGCATCCAGTTTAAGCTGCAGGGAGTATTTAGGAAAGGGGAATGTAATTATCCACACTGGAAGCAGGCCATGGCTTGGAGCTTTGGGGAAAGAGCCTGTAGGACCTCCACTTTCCAGCCCACCTGAAAGATGGGGCTTCCTTTCAGCAGTCAAGGACATCAGCCTGCTTCCCGCTGACTCAGGAAGAAGCCCCCAGGCACTGTCTCCTTCACATACTCCCCATCAGACCCCTTAGGGTCATTGAGAGGCTCCTTTCCAAGGACTGGCCCTGGCTCAGCCTCGAGGATGCGACAGCGTCCCAGGGAGCTACCCTCCACACACCAGTTTGGGTTTAACATATAATCAAATCAGAGTGACAGCAGGTGGAAACAGCCCTCTGTTGCTGCAGGAACTGTCCTTGAGTTAGGAACAAAGACAGGACAAGAAAGACAAGACAAAGTGAGTATTTGCACGTGTGCATTCATGCCCATATACATGGGGAAAATAACAAGGACTTCACCAAAACCGTTTATTGGATCTTATAATGGAATGAGTAGGGAGACTTTTTTTTTAAATATACTTTTTAAAAATATATATATATATTTTTTAAGATTTTTTAATTTATTTATCAGAGAGACAGAGGCAGGCAGAGGGAGAAGCAGGCCCCTTGCTGAGCAAGGAGGCCGATGTGGGACTCGATCCCAGGACACTGGGATCATGACCTGAGCTGAAGGCAGACGCTTAACTGACTGAGCCACCCAGGCATCCCAGGGAGACTTTCTTCTACATTCTAGCAAAGAATTTAATCCCAAGGTGTTTTTTTTTTTTTTTTAAAAAAGGGTGGTGAAAGAGCCAGAAGGCTGGCCTCCAGTTAAGCGAGGTATTACACGAATAGATTTGGATATACTCCCAGTCACAGTCCATTCACTTAAGAGAGTAGAAGTATTTGTGAAAAAAAAGTTGCCTGTAAAGCATATTTCCAAGTTTTTACTCTTCCTTATTAATTTTCATTATAAACTTGGAAATGTGTTTCTAGGGAGAATTTTTGGCCCTAAGACATAATAAAATCACACTGCAGAATGCAGCAGACCTTATAAAAGCACATATTCAAGGGAAAATTCTAATTTTACAGCACACTTTTGTGTTCAGCTTGCGTGCCTTACTTGGAGCAGGGAGGGTGTTTGGGTTTGGCACAGCAGCTCCAAAGGTCTCGAAGAAACCCATCCTGAGACTCCGGCTCCAGGTCTCACCCCCCAGCCCAGAAAGAGGAGGGGCCGGGAGCAGCCTCGGCGCACCAGGCACTTTCTGACCTTGTAGCTGCTTACAAGGGCTTCAGGAAGGCTGCTGGCCTTTGGTGGCACTTAGGCTGCCCTCCTAGAGGACGCGGATGCTGCAGGGAGAGAGAGAAGCCCTGGGGTTACAGCTGGGGGTGGGGGGCAGGGAAGGATCCCCTGCTGTGATGGGGGACATGGATGACTGGGGTTCCCAGAATCCTGGCAGGGGTCCTCAGATAATGTCCACTGAACTGGTTTTTTCACTTACAATTGCCATACCGAATGCACCTTACTTGGGGGGAAAAAAAACTTCCGTAAACATGTGGGTTGTAAACCAAGGTAAAATAGAGACAATTGTTTGCATTTTAAAAGAATGATCCTACTCTACAAAAAATACTCACATGAGATCTTCTATAAATAATGCATTTAAAATCTGGTATGTGCCTAACATTTTGTTTAAATACAATTCTGGGGCTGTTCTAAGCCAGGTATACCTGAAATGAGTGAATTTCTGTATTTGGACTTTACAAATCATGAGACAAATCTGCCTGTCAGCTTTCATCTTCTTAATTTATTTTTCCCTTACACATTTGTAGACAGAAAAAAATGCATCTCAGTTCATACCTGTTGGGATCCAAATGTTCCCCGTTACCAGTAGCTCCCCTTTTCCTAACCAGCACATCTCTCCCTTGCTTGAAATCACACCTGGAGGATTCTTAACTCCACTCGATTCCTTTCAGAGCTTTGTTCAATCCCTTTGGTTTGGGTACCCGTGATACGGGCTTTCCAGGTTATCCAGTATCGGAGTGCTCTGCTGGGCGTTGGGCTTTCGGCAGCTGGGAGGTCCTGCTCACATGGACAGAGCTGGTGTAAAGGCCATGCCCCGCCCACTTCTCTCCCCTTCCCATCATCTAATGTGATTCAGCAGGAAGAGCAGAGTCCCTTCCTTCCCAGTAATCCCGTTGCTTCCTTCTCTCCCCAGTGAGAAAGTGGCGAGTGAAAAGTGCCTTGGGAGCCTTGGGCCAATGGCAGATTGAGGTGGGAGAGCCAGCACTCCCAGGAGCAGGGAGCCTGGGGTCTGAATTCATCAAGGAAGACAATGCCAATGTATGTCTATCTGTTAGGTGTCGAGGAGGGGGTGGTGGGAGTGGGCCTGGAGGGCAGACACCATGTCTTATTCACCACCTTGTCTCCCATGCCCACCTGGGCACAGAGTTCTGGAAGTGTTTGCCTGAATGAATACCTATACTTGGGTATGGTCATCCTTGAATGAATGAATGAATGAATGAATGAATGCTTGGCTTGGTCATCCCAGGACAAGGGCTCCAGGCCTGGAATGTCACAGCAACAGCATTGTCAGGGGGGAGCTGTGGGAAGAGCTGAGGGTCTCCTGTTGTGGGCCCCGGGTAGAGCTTTGCAGAGCAGGAAGCCATCCCTTGCTGGCCCTCACCAAGAGTGGTCCTAAGTTGGATTTGCCTTCTGCAGCCCATCTTCATGCGCAAGGACACCAAGATGAGCTTCCAGTGGCGGATTCGAAACCTCCCCTACCCTAAGGATGTCTACAGTGTCTGTGTGGACCAGAAGGAGCGCTGCATCGTTGTCCGAACAACCAACAAAAAGTAAGTGGCATGATGGGCACCTGCCGGCCTGTGGGAGGGCTTCCTCTCCGCAGGACCAGCTTGAATAATGTAATCAGCTCCCTCAGGGCGGGAAATTGGAACAAGGAATGTCTGGTCCGGTAACTGGCACATACTGGGGTTCAACAAATATTTGTTGAATGAGGGGACGAGGAATCACCTGGCCATTAACTTGTGATCGTAGGTGGTTCCTTGATTATTACCTTGACCCCCTGGCTGGATCCAGTCCATGGTGAACTTGGCCTGGTGACATCACTGTCGGGGCTGTCAGGGAGCCGTGGCCTAGAGGGCACACCCAGCTGAGGTGGCAGTTAGAGGACTTAAAGTACTGGTCTGGGGTTAGCCAACCTTATCCCGCCCGGGGCTGACGGGCAATAGGCAGGTACTTTGGCCTCCTGGAAGTCTCTTGCGTTCTGTTTCAGAAGGGGCACCTAACTTCCCTTTATTTCTCTCCTACTGTTCTGCTGGGGGCAGGCAAGGGGAGAGGGAACAGAAGGTGGCCAAGGAGGAGATGTGGTCCAGGCAGGGCTGTTTCTGGGCTGACCATCTTGGAAATGCATTTAGATTTCCAGAGCTCTGACTGATCACAGGAGAACCGTGTTAATGAGCTGGTCTTGACCTGGGCCAGAGGAATTGCAGTATAGGACCAACTCCCATGAAATACAGTTGAGGTATTAAGATGGAAGGTTTTATGAGTGACTGGTCCACACACTGGAGCCACCCAACATGCCTTGTGGGTGCTGAGCTTGGGCCAGAGGTGCCGCCATCCATCCGTTTCATGCAGTCAGGAGGACCCAGCTCCTTGTCCGGCTCCTTGGGGGGTGTGGTGCCGCCTCCCCTCCCAGCTCCCTCAGGTCCGCGAGGCCCACAGGAAAGCTGCACAGCTCCCAGGCTCCCCCGGCGCAGCCTTGGGTTCTGCCCTCTGCTTATGACCCCCATACTCTCTCACTTCGGCAGGGTTAAGGGGATGGGGAAGGGGTGGAGATGAATGAATTAATTTCAAGATTATTGCTCTTCATGTAGCCAGCAGCCCCTGCAGTGGGCCTTGTCTATAAAGTCATAATAATAAGGGTTTGCGTTTATAAAGCACTTTGAAGCCCTCAGATAAAAGGCAGTTTATTCCTGTTATTGTTCTCATCATTAATGGGAGTCAGCGCCTAAAGTGGAATTTAGCAATTTCAGACAACAGAGAAATTGCCTTTAGGAAAACAAATTCTGTGCTTCAGCAAGCATTCCCTGGCGTAAGAGGCCCTGGGTCCAAACTGGGAACAAAAGTGCTTCTGATAGCACTTGAATCTGCAGCCTAGCAGTTTGTAGAGCTGGCTGCTGCCTCCCTTTTGTCCCCCAGAGGTCACTGTCGAATACAGATATCAGGCAGAAATGTGATTACTGGGGAGTGAGAGGAGAGAGGCCAGCTAGCTCACCAAAAAATTCATCTGCGGGCAGATCCTCTGGGTCCCATCTGCTGCACATACCCAGCTGTAGGCGGCGCTGTTGGCCAGGAGCAACATGGCTAGAAGCCCACTCCTGCGCTCGAGGCAGCTGGAGACATTTTTGAACTGATGGGTGAGGCCAGGTGGGATGGAAGTAATGCCCCTAGACGGGACAGGGCCGGGGCTGGATCCCCACAGAGGGGAGAGGAGTATGTGAGTGCCCGCTTCGGAGCCCGCACTGAGCCTCTGGTCCAGTGGCCCTGCCTGGCTCAGCCCAGCCTTCCTCGGGTCCCTCTGCCCAGGGGTAGGAGAAAAAGGCCACTAAACCTTTAACCGGCTCTTTCTTGAGCCTAGTGGCATTTTCATCTCCTACCAGGGGCAGTAATGTGTCTTATACCTTTACTACCACTAATTAAACAACTCAGTGGTTATTCTTTTGAGCAGGATACTGTTTTTTTTTCAGGGTACGTTAAAAATCTGTTTTCTGGGGCGCCTGGGTGGCTCAGTCATTAGCGTCTGCCTTCGGCTCAGGTCATGATCCCAGGGTCCTGGGATCGAGCCCCGCATCAGGCTCCCTGCTCAGCGGGAAGCCTGCTTCTCCCTCTCCCACTCCCCCTGCTTGTGTTCCCTCTCTCGCGGTCTCTCTGTCAAATAAAATCTTGAAAAAAAAAATCGTCACACCATCCAGTGTTGGGCAGGGTACATATTTTCATTCTTGTGTTATATCGTAATGATTATATAAATGTGTCTGTAAAGTCAGTGTGATGAGCTGACTTGCAAAGGGAAAGTTAGCGACAGTCTAGCTGCCCGGACATCTGCAGTATCCACACCATGGCATCTCTGATTTGCCTTCTTCCATTACCTGCTAGTTCTGTGCCTGCCTGAGTTCTAATATTCTGGAATGTGGTTACTAGTAAAAGCCAATGTTCCTTGTCCATACCTGCCTTGTCCCTGAAGGACTGGGTTGGTCACTTTTCTGGAAAGGATTGATTCCAATGTATCATGTCCTTGGCCTCATGTATTAGTGAGGGGATGAATCAGGGAAGAAAGTGCTTTTCCAGGATCCCAGTGTGGTACTGCCTGTTCCTGATAAGAGTGTGCAGAAAGAAGATTCTTAGCCTCAGACTAGAAGCTGGCAGCCATTAAGTGGAATGGACAAGGGCACTGGAGTGGGAAGGGGTTGGCTTAAATCTGACCTCTGCCACGTACTAACTGTAGTATTTTGGGCAAGGCTTCCTCACACAGGAGAATACTCATACCCACCTCACAGACTGTTTGGGCAATTTGATGAAATCATATGTATACAAACGTCCGGGACAATGGCTGGCCTGAAGCATGTCTTCAGCAATTCTTTGGAAATTAGAACTTGGCTGATTAGACACTGGTAACATTAACACTGGGAGGTGTTAATAGGCATCACTAGAAAAAAAGGATTCCGTGGTCAAATAAATTTAGGGAACTGGATTAAACAAGTTTCTCTTTGGTGAATGTGCATTGTGAGTCCAGGAAGGGCTGCTGTAGGCAGGGATGATCGGCTTGCCTGGAGCTGTGATGTTTAAGAAAGAAGGAAGGTTTGCCTACTGCTTTTCTAAGGGCGGGACTGGCTAGAGGCTCCTCAGGCCCAGTCTTGCCAAACCCGTGTGCGGGTGTGCAGGGCGCCCCGGAGCTGTGTGTGGGGCACGGCCCGTGTAACTCTCCACAATGGCCCTGCTTCTGCTTTTCAGCCTCTCCTCCGAGTCTGTCTCCAGAGGCCTGGCCTCTTGTGTTCTTTCTCAGTTCACTGCAAAGAATAGGTTGGGAAACAACTGGAAATTGGGAAGAGGATACAGCAGAGAGCAGTGGGGTCATTTCTGTGTATGACTGTGGGTCATTTCTGAAGTAGCCCAAGTGAAGGAGCCATCCTTTCAGCACAGTTTGGGGGGAGGTACAGAGTTGGCCTCTTCTGGTCCCTTTGACAGTGACTTAAAGTTCATCTCGTTCATCTAGTTCGGTGACTAAAGTTCATTCAGCTCCTTTATTGGAGGAAGGCATCTGGAGGAAGAAACCGGGGCCCAGAAGTGAAGTGGCCTGCCCAGGGTCACAGGCCAGGACCAGAGTTGTCCTGAGAGCCTTTGCTTCCCCATGTCTTTCGAAAACTTCTGACCTTCAGAAAGGAAAGCCACTGTGTTAGAGTACCTGGAGGACCTGCAGGGTCATTGGATCCTAAGGGAGATCCCCCCATATCTGCTCCGTCCTTGGACAGCAGGGAACCTAGACCAGGGGTCTGTTACTTGGAGGAGTGTGTGTGGAGAGATGGAGGGTCAGGAGATTTGGGGTATTACTACTTGTAATAAGGGCTTCTCCAGTGACCAGTTTTGTGACTCCAGCAAGATACCTATCTGTATCTCCGTTTTCTCTTTTGTGAAAGAGGATAATAAAAGCAACCAGCCTGAGGGGGTTGCTTTGAGGATTCGATGTGTGTGGAGCAGTGCCTGGCCCCACTAAGCATTAACAAACATCCCCTTTCATTGTGTGACTGAGGCTGAGAACAGTAGTAGGAGATGGGAACAGGGGAGTGTCACGTGTCTGCCAAAAGCCCAGGAACCGCTGCACTATGAGGGCCTAGCTTTCAGCAGAAACACAAGCTCTCCTCAGGCAGAGATAGGGCCTTCTTTCTTCTTCATCTTTAAATCCCCAGCTCATAGCTCAAGGCCTAGGACACAGTTGATGCCTAAAGACGTGTTTGCTGCCCCCTCAGGGTTGCCTGAGGCTGAGTGTTCTTTTCCAGAAGCACAGTGTGTCCCTCTCTAGTCCAGGTGCCAGTGAGAAAGTCAAGTGTGGTTCCTCGCAGGGTGAACCCCAAGGCCAGGGGACGGAGGTGAGAAGGGGCTGGGCTGCACCCCTGAGGAGGGGAAGCAGATGTCCCAGACTCCCTTGAACACTGCCCATCAAAGTTGTGTAACCTCAGCCAGTAAACTAAATCCATTAGAACAGACTCAAGACAAAGAGCATCCACACTCACTCTGCCTCCATCCCCCTCGCCTCCTAGTGACAGGTGTGGGCGGAGGCCAAGCCCCCTGGGTTTCTCTTTTCAGTCCCAGTGCCCCAGCCGGCACCCCTCTGAGGGTACCCAGGCGTGTCCCTGTCCCACGTGGAGCACAAGCCAGGCAGGCAGAAACGATGGCCCCACGCTCTGCACGGTGAGGCTCACGCAGGCCCCGCTGCGTCGGCTAGGCTGCGCGCGTGCCCGGGCTGCTTCTCTCCCAGTTCTGCTGCTTGTGTATATTTGCAGGGAAGATGTTAACACTTCCTAACAAGCCTTTGTGTTCATCTAATCTCTGCTGTTTAACCTTTGACTCCCCCCTATTATCAGTGTCTGCCACCTTTGCTGGCCAGCCCAAGGGCCCCAGGAAGAGCCCTCAGCCTGGCCAGCTAGGAGGAGGATGAGGCCGCATTCCACCCCGGTTTTGCAGGCAGATGGATCGCCTTTCCCTGGGGCAGAGCTTTGGGAAATAAAGCAAGCTTGTGGTGCCATTAGGATCCCCCAGCCCCCACTCCTTTTGAACTGTCAGCCTTTAAGTAAACATTCTTCTCCTGCTGTGGGTCCCAGCACCTTGGCGGGGAGCGGAGAACCTGGGAGGAGAGGGGCCCTGAGCGCCTCCGCTGAACTCCCGGGGATTTGGATAGGAGAGCAGGGCAGAAGTGCTGCATTGATGTCAACTCTGAGTCCCTGGGGCAGCGGGGCTTTTGAAGTGGACCCGGAGTAGCTGTCACCACCAGGCCCAGGCCCCTCTGAAGTAGTCAAAGCCCCGTCCGCTCCAGGCCCCTGACTGGAATTTGTGTGTACCTGCCCGCAGCATTTCCCTTCCCAGCCCACAGCCCCACAGCGGCAGGGGGGATGCCAGGCCTGGGGAGCAGGTCTGCTGGCCACTGGCTGAGGCCCCGGGCTCCACTTGCACCAGGTTAGACGCCACACAGGCCTGCTGCTAGAGGAGGCGCTCTTGGTGACAAGCACCTGACCGGGAGCAAGGAGCTGGGTCCCGACTCCACGGACAGCTGGCCATGAAGCCAGGCGAGACCCGTTACCTCCCGCTTCGGTAAAGGTCAGATTTCCTGTAGAATGAAGTCCAGTTGTATACATCTGGGCTAGGTATTGCTCTCTGGGTTTTTTGGGTTTGTTTTTACTAAAAAGGATCATTAATCTCTGGACTGGCCCTTACAGATGATAGGGATTGTGTGTGAAAATGGAGGGGGGACGTTTCAGGGCCAGCAAAGTAGTCCAGAGATCCAGCTTCTGAGATGAGTCATGTGGTTTGTCCTCCTAGATTTCTCTTTGTGGATGTACTTCTCTCTGGCCTACAAGAGGAGTCAGGCCCACAGGGCCTTGAAAGACCCCAAGAGAGGGAAAAAGTAGCTGGGGCCTTCAGAGAAAGTTGCATGTAAATGGCAACTCTTGGTCCCCAGCTTTGGGGAACAGCCCTAGCCAGATTTATTCTGTCCCTTGTTAGCATACATGTTCCCGTGTTCTTGGGGTAGAGCGGAGGCCAGGAGTCACTCTAATCCCTGGTCTAATCAAGGAACCATGACGGGTCCTGCCCTTCCACTGCTGGCTTCGCCAAAACGCCTTTCATTCATACTGATGTTCTAACTGGCTTCCCTTCTTCCTCTTTGGCTCTGTGGAAAGTGTGGAAGAACAGTGTAGAAAGTTGGCACCAGAGGGCCTGCTGCCCAGTTGCTGGGGGTCACTTTGCTGGATGTGCCGATGACCTCTTGGTGTTCCCACAGGTACTACAAGAAGTTCTCCATTCCTGACCTAGACAGATACCAGCTACCTCTGGATGAGTCCTCGCTGAGCTTTGCTCATGCCAACTGCACCCTGATCATCTCTGTAAGATTTACCCAGACTTCTTGGCCACTGAATCAGGGAGACACTCCTCCTTTCCCTGCCATTTCCCATCCCATAGGAGTCCCCGGTTCCAGCCCCAACACCTGGCCTGTGCTTGCTAGAGAACAGGCACCTCTCCTTCAGGGTGGGGGGGCTCAGCTGATCTTAGAAGTCACAGCTGGAAGAAGACAGAGGGTGACATGGAGGGATGGAAATCACAGGCCTGGGATTCTGGTGGAAGGCTCCTATCCAGTCATGTGACCTTGAGCAAATCATTCAGCCTTGCAGGCATCAGTTTCCTCATTTTCAAATAATGGGATCAGAGGAGGCCCGGAGTGTGTATGTAGGGAGGGGAGATGTGGCTGAATGATGTGCTCTTCCTGGTTCCATCCACAGTACCAGAAGCCAAAGGAGGTCCTGGCGGCTGAGTCAGAGCTTCAGAAGGAGCTAAAGAAAGTGAAGACGGCCCACAGCAGTGACGGGGACTGTAAGACCCAGTAGCAGAGCATCCCTGAGCCTGCCCTTCCGGCAGCATGGCGGGTGGGTGAGGCTCTTCTGGACTTTGTGGCTTGGGCCACCCCCTTTCTGGTGCAGGGGTATGTCCTCTCTTCCATGAGCTATCCAGGCTCTGTGAGAACTGGGCCTTGGGGGTGCTCCTAGCCCCCATATCATGGTCTGATCTCCCAAGTAAAGTCATTCTGAGTCACTGTTGAGGGGCTGCCCTTTTGTCCACCCTCTATGCTGTCACCAGGGAGGGTGCTGGTGAGGACATTCCCTTCTCTCCTCCTCAGGGACCTTCAACATCAAAGGCTTCAACAAGCCTTTCACATAAAGGGAAGCCCTGAGCCTAGCGCTAGCGGGGGGTGCATCTTCCCCATCCTGTTTGCATAAATTCAGAGGGACACTAGGCTGGCAGAGACCCTGGTCTTAGCTTTCAGAAGGGCCCAGATGAGCTCCCCACAGTAAGGGGAGGTAAGGTAAAGAAGGTTTTGAAATACAGAAACCTTAAAAGCAGCCCAGGAGATTAAGACATTGTGGATGTAAAGGCAGAAGGAGGGTTGTATCATTGCAAAGAGTGTGGGTGTGTTAGAGTAGTGTGAAGAAGGGTTACTGCAGATGGGGAGTAGCTTAGCTCCCCAACAGCGCAGAGCCCTTCCACAGTCCTCTACCCCACAGGTGACACCCACCCACCACCGGGGCAAAGGGGTGAGTGGTAATGAGAGGTTTGGTCTTTGGGACACTGAGCCATGAGGCTGGTCTTACCCTTTCCCCAACATGCCCATCCTCATGTTTGAAGATGTCGGTCCCCTCTTAGGGCCTCCCAGGACTCCCCAGCCAGAGAGGAACTGGATCTGTGAACAATCAAGCTTTATTTTTACAAAAATGAACATGGTAGCATGTCTTAGCAGCCGGCCTGAGACTGGGCTGGCTTAGGACTCACTCAAAACTGCTAGCCTCCCTTTGTCCTTCCTCAGGTTCAAAGCAAGACCAGGCCACAGTGCCTCAGGAATGAGCCCCAAGAGCTTGGTCAAGGGTGGGGACTGAGGAGGTAGGGGCCACAGCAGAGGATTGGCAGCCTCACCCCTCCTTCCAAGGAAGGGGCAGAAAGGGACCAACTGGGATGGCTGGAGCCCCTCACCTCACTCTAAGCTATCATGGCTCTAAGAAGGGGCGAGGTACAGGGCAGGCCTGTCCAGACCAGATCCTTGCTCTGGCCAACAGGGAAGCAAGGCCCGGCCAGGCTCAGCCATTCCCTCAAAGCAGCAGATCCCTTCTCTCCAATTAGTTCCTTGGGGGGGGCACCCCCAAATTCCCGGGAGTCAGCAGCCTTTACCTGACGGTGCCCAAGCACTGTGGTGACAGGTCTAGGAGCACAGGCACGGCGGGGGCGGAGGCATCCCTGCACCCTCCAGGCGGAGAGGTCCCTGAGTAGCTGGCTTCCCTGGCCCGCAGGCCGGGGTGGCCCCGTCACGGGTTCTGGAAGTCCAGGACGTGGAGGTTGTAGGAGAGCGCGGCATAGAGATGCTTGGTGGTGAAGCGCAGGCAGTACACAGGGCTGCTGAGCGGGGTCGAGGTCAGCGGGAAGGCCTGCAACCGAGGGCGGAGCCCTAACCTCAGCTGCCTGGGCCCAGCGCAGACTCCCCCGCCTTCTCCAGGCACCCCCGCTCCCAGATCCAGCCCCTAATAAGGGGGTGTGAGGTGTGCGGTGCGCTTACGTGGAGGCAGGCCCTCTGGCGCCGGTCCCACAGCCGCACGACCCCGTAGTAGGAGGACCCAGTAGCCAGCAGGTGGTTCCCATCGGTCTGCAGGCAGTACAGGGTGCTGTCGTGGGGCTCCTCCCACTCCATGACACACTTCCTGTCCGGGAATCGGCCATCAGAGGGAGGGTCAGGGTGCCCTCCACCCCAGCTTCCACAGGGGCCTTAGAAATCCATTCTGGCCGGGAGACAGAAGCTGAATCACCGGACTCTTTCGAAGCCAGACTTAATTCGGGGAAAGCCGCCTCTGGAAAGGGCTCCTTCTCGCCAATGCCCGAACCCCAGGCCCGATGAGGCCCTCCTCGTCTGTGCTTCATACTGCTGGCTGTGTGTCACAGGACTTGGGCGGCAGGGCAGAAAGAAAGGCAGGATGCTGAGGGATAGGACCCTGACGACTCCCCGGGCTCTTAATCAGCGCCTGGTGGCTACGGTCTCCCAGGCCATGGGACCAGGGCCGCCGACGGGGAGCCCAAGCTTGACCTGACCCTGCTGGCTGCCACTCCTAGCCTCCAGCTGGAGGGCCCGGGACTGCCGCACACTCACCGGACGCTGGCTCGGAGGTCCCAGTAGCGAACGTAGGTGTCATAGCCACAGGACAAGAGTGTGGACGGGGACTCATACATGACATCCAACACCCCAGCCCCTGGGGGGAAGTCACTGCCCAGGTGCATCATTAGCTGCCCACTGGGGAGAGAACAAAGGGGCAGAGGATGAGAGACTGTCCGCCTCGGTCCCCACACCAGCTTTTAACCTAATGGCCTCAGTCCCTGGGGAAACGCAGCTCCCCGCCCCCCCCCCCCGCCCAAGCTAAGATCAGGCTCCCTTAGGAAGGAGCCAAGGGAAGAAATGGCCCAGGATGCCCACCCTGTCACCCCAGTCGCCGTGCTGCCCCTCCCGCAGCTAAAGGCCACCATCGGCCCGCAGCCCCTGCCTGCATCACAGCTGCTCGCTGCCTGGCCACTGCCCCTCGGGGAGGAAGCATGGGCCTCACGGACGGGCCGGCCCCCCTCCCGTGCGCACACACACACTTGGTTACTTTATAGTTCTTGATCCTGCAGGTCATGCAGTTCTGAGCTGCCTGAGTCCAATGCCTTAATTCCTGCCTGTAATCTGGGGCTCAAACCTCATTGGGGATAAAGACCACACAAAGGGAGAAGGGGAGTCCCAGGAGATGTTAAAACAAGTAAACACCTTTGTGTCTGGGGAGAAAAATCGCTGAGAAAGCAGCTTAGCGGGCCGGTCCCCGGTGTTCCTGGCCCGGCTGGCCCCCAGCCCGGGGCTAGCACGCCTGTGTGATCACAGCCCCCAGCCTGCTGGGCTCCAGCGTGCTCCCCCAGCCTCGCCCCTCCCGGTGGCCGAGAGCAGATTACTGAGAAGAACAATTTCTTTGTGACTGTGTAATTCCCTCCGTGACCGCGGCAGTGGGCAGACCCCTCGCCCTGATGCCAGACCCTTAGCAACCATGTAGGGGGGCCTTCTGGCCCTAGCAACTACCCCTCAACATCAAGTGCACCCGCTAATCCCTGTGGCTAGGGAACGGGGAGAAGCAGGGAGTTTCTGCAGAATGACCGGGGCGGGGGGTGGGGGGATGAAGGAGAAGAGGGGCACCCTCCAGGCCTGATCCAGCACTTTCACCCAAGAGATGCTGGGCTCTCTTCCCTGGCAGGACAGGAGAAGCAAGGCCATGAACACTTCCCAAGGACACCCAGGTAAAGGGCCCCGGCAGTGGGAGGGAGGACGCCACAATCTCACAAGCAGTGTTCACCAAAGGGCTGAGGCAGATGCTACCAGCCCCAAGTGAAAGCAGACTTCAGTCCCAGGCCTTCCAGCTCACACGGACTCTGACCCTCAACATCCCTCCTCCCCAGTGCAGCCACCATCTTCCCCAGAAGCTGAAGGAATAGAAGAGGCAGCCTGGGGTTCCCTTCTACCTTTCCCCTCGAGCCCTGGGCAATGAGGTGACCCCCAGCAAGGGACACTGTTGCGGTCAGTGGGAGGTCAGGCCCTAAGTCAGCACCCTGGCCCCCAGCCTCCTTGGGGAGATATTCCTCTTTCTGTCTGAGGTAGAAGGTAAGCCTCTGTGGTGGGGGACCCTGAGAGGGATCAGGCAGAAGGCTACCACCCACAGATCAGCATCTCCTAGAGATCACTGACCTTGGCTCCCAGGAAGGGCCACCAGCCATGACTGACCCACCCCGGGCAGGCCAGAGTCCTAAAAGGAGTCCGTGCCGCCCCCCACCCACCTCTCTTTTACAGCTACTTCTGGACATTTGTGCACACCCGGGTAGGGGGCTGTTTGGCTCCACAGTTCTCCCTCCTTCCAGATTTGGGGGCCCTGCCCCTTCCATTAGTGAGGCCTTCAGGAATGACTGAGGAGCTCTCCCCTTTAATCTGCAGAAGTAATTTCATGTTTGTTTGAAATAGAAGATGAAAGGCGGTGGGGGTTGGGGGCGTGAAGCCCAGCATGGCTCTGCCTGCCCACCCCCGGTCCCAGGGCTCAGAGGGAAAGACAGCCGGGCACCCGGGGGCTGGACAGGGGCAGCGGCGTCGGGACCGGCAGCATCAGGGCGATACCCAGACCAAGTTGCCACGCTGGGCCCCCGTCCCAGCATCCAAGCCACCCCTGGAAAGGGTCCTGCCAGTGTCTGCGACAAGAAACAGAACCCTGCCCGCCGGGGGAAACCTGAGGGCCAGAGTGAGCACCAGCCTCCCTGAGGCCAGCCCAAGTCCCGCAGCCCCTTGTCCGCTGGCCCAGCCTGGCCCGAGACAGAAAAGTTTCTTTCTGCGGCTGCCCGGTGCTCCAATTCTCTGAAACGGCCACACACACTTCAAATGGGCCAATAAAAAGATACAATTTCTTTTGCCTCTGGGCCTGGGACCCTCACAACTCTGCTGTGCGGTGCCCGGGAGGTGAAGTCCAGGGCCTCCGCGGACCCAGCTGGCTCTGGGAAAGGGCCCGTCTCTCCGAACAGTGGCCCAGCGCCGCCATGGGAGCCCTGCTGGGGCTTTGATTTGGGAAAACAAACAGAAATGGCACCGTGGGCCCTTCATGGCCCCCACCCCAAGACCAATTTAACTAGAAAACTCTAGCTCAACAGCTCTGGGGAAGGGAGCAAGATCGGCCCAACAATAGCCTCAAACTTTGGGGGAAAGGGGGACAAAACAGGCTGTCTGTCTCCTCAGCCCCTCCTCTCGGGCTCCTTTTCTTCCTGCAAGTGTGTTCTTGTAAAAACGATTAGATTGCAATTTGTATAACATGGTGACCCCCAAATTCAGACGTTTCACCCCTTTTCTCTGGAAAGAATGTCAAGAATGCTTCTCGGCCTCTCACCGTGGGGGGCGCGAGGGGGGGTGCAGAGCCTTGGCTGTCGCACAACTTGTGTGGGAACAGGACTGCCCCTCAGAGTCCCGGGCCAAGACGGCAGCAAGGGCCGGCTCTGTCACTACCGAGGGCCAGACAAAAAGTCCATTCCCTTACAACTCCTGCACACAAAGCCTGGGCCTCCAGGAGCCACTGGGGGCTGGGTGGGGGGGGGCGCCTCCACACCCCAGCCTCTCCCGAGCCTGACTCCAGCAATTCTCTTTCCACCCAGGGAAAGATAAAGACAGATGGGGCCACCCCTGTGAGCTTGATGAACGAGCGCAGGCCAGGGAGGGCAGCCTGAAGGAGGCCGGGCTGCGTGCCGCGTTCTCCGGGAGGCCCCAGAGTACCTGGGCGGGAAGAACAAGCAGAGGGCGGCCTCAGCGCAGGGACTTGGGGTGAGCAGGTGAGGGAACCGGGGCTCCCACCCTGCTGCACAGCGATTCCAGCTCAAGGGAAGAGGGAGCCCAGGGAGGAGCTTCCTGACAGAAGGAAATCTAGTAAGACAAGGACCCCTCCATCACCATCTTTAGGGGACATCTAGGGACAGCTAACTGGAGGTAGGTGTTGGCCCTGAAGACCCAGACGTCCCAGTTGGGAGGGCCCCTCCCTCTCCTGCTCTGGGCCTTGCCGAGCTGCAAGCCAGTGGCCACCCTGTCCCGAGTCCGCTCATCCCAGCCTCCACCTGCCTCCCTGCCCGGCCTGCCTCTGCTCCCGACACAAGCCACAGCCTGCAGGAAGTCCCCCTGTGCTAGAGGGCCCCGAGCTAGGAGAAGCCAGATCCCCGTCCCACCTCCCGGCCTGCACCTACGAATACCTGTGGCCCCCACACCCCTTAACAGCCACTGTTAACACACGGGGTTCCCATCCTCGGCGGGGCCTGGTCTGTGCTCGGGACAGAGGATGTTCCCTGGAGATCCTAGAAGTTCTTGCTCCTCCGCCTGGCATGTATGTGTGACCCTAAGACGCAACAGTGGCTTTCAGGGGACGGCAAGGATGGAAGAGTGACACACAGTTCACCTTCCCGCAGGTCGGCTCCCGGGGACAGAGGACCTGAAGGTACAAACTGGGCCAGACACGGTCACTCAGGAGGGCAGGTTTTTCCTCTTTCCCACCCCTCTCCTTCCCGCTCTTCCCTTCTTTGAGCAACAATCATTTAATGAGCACCTTCTATATACCAGGCATTGTGCTTTAGTAGGAACTGCAGGGAGATGTCAGGGACGGCTCTGAAGGAGCTCTCCCTGTCCTCCAGGAGTTCTCAGTCCAGGGAAGGAGGGAGTCTGTCATGTATCCAGCTAACAATACAAGGGGTGAGCGGGTGGGTCCCCGAAGAGAAATGAAAGTTTTACCGTAAGAGGACAGATCAGAGAACATTTCGGCCTGTGGGCATGGAGTGGTTCCCCAGGGAGTGCCAGAAGTGGGACAGGCCATGACAGGAGCGCGGGGATGGCCCAGCTGAAGGACCCGCCCCAGCAGGCGTGCAGAGCCAGGGCACCGGCGCCATGTTTGCAGCTGGCAGGCACTCCGGTCTGCCCGGGATCTGGCTCTCAGGCCGTGACGGCCCTCGGGTGCACACTGCTCAGGGGGCACCAACTCGGGGGGGGGCAGGGAGTCACCAGGCTTCTCAGCAGGGAGGAGCTCGTCCTGTCTGGCCCTCTGGTGGGGAGGGCGGGCATCAAGGAGGCATGGGATGTCCCAAATGTTACCACCAGAGTGGTGGTGACAAGGAGAGGCCCATGGAAGCTTCGCCTGCCTTGGCCCCAGCAGGCGAGCGGGAAGGGCCCTGCCCGAGCCCACGGCCTCTCCCCTGCATGTGTGCGCGCGTGCACGGCCCCCCGCGCCCGCCCGCGCACACGTGTTCAGACACAATGGCTCAAAGGCCAGGCAGCCGGGCAGCCCACTTTGTACTGCTAACAAGGGGCCCGTAATTACAGGAAGGGGCAGCCGGGCAGATAAAAGGATACAAAATTTCAACATCTGTTGCCATAAAGGGATAAGGAGAAGTGAAACGCAAAGTATCAGTTTGGTGTCAGCAGGCAGAGAGCCAATTTCAAAGAGTTCAGGGGGACAGAGGGGACAAGAAAGAAAAAGGCAAGGGGGGAGAAAGAAAGAAAGAAATTACAGGTTTCCTTAAAGAGGTAAAGAAAAAAGAAAATGAAAAAATCTGTCAGTAATACTTTCAAAGGAGAAGACAGGTCCTTTAAAGAGGGCAGTTCCCCAATCACCCTGACTGAGGGCCGGGCCGCCCGGGGTGGAGGCGAAGGCGGAGGCAGAGACAGAGCCACACCTGGGCCGGTGGGCCCGCTCTGTGCTCGGGACACGG